GCTCCAGGCAGCAGGACAGCTGGGCTCAGCACTACGAGCTGCTTAACCCTGAAGGGAACTCTCCGAAGTCCTCGTCAACCAGGAGGAGAAAAGCTGACATAATTCAGATTTGTAATAGCCAACTTTCTTTACAGTCCTTCCTTCCTGTCACGGCTCGAGACAGAAATGAACTCCCATGGGCTTGATTCGAATGACGCTTTTGTGTGACAGAACGGGCTAGAAACTACAGAGGGAAATAAAAATGAACTCATAAAGGTGCCATGCGTACCAGGCAGTACTAGCCTTTCCTTAGCCGACTTTGATAGGAAATGTAAGCAAAAGCCTGCCAACCCCACTCGCCTCCCCTTTCCAGGAACAGCATGTATCCTTTCCTCAGCTGCTCCAGGCGCCAGGGAGAGCCCGTTAGCACCACTTCCTCCTTCCTCTGCTGTCACCTTTTTTTTTTTTCTTGCAACACAAGCTCCATTAACAGAACATTTCTTTTTCTTCTCTCTCTCTCTCTCTCTCTCTCTCTCTCTCTCTCTCTCTCTCTCTCTCTCTCTCTCTCTCTCTCTCCCTCCCTCCCTCCCTCCCTCCCTCCCTCCCTCCCTCCCTCCCTCCCTCCCTCCCTCCCTCTCTCTCTCTCTCTCTCTCTCTCTCTCTCTCTCTCTCTGTATTTTGTTTTTTTTTTCTCCAGGGAAGGTTTCTCTGTGTAACAGACTGATCTCACAGACATCCGCCTGCCTCTGCCTCCTGAGTGCTGGGATTAAAGACACACGTGCCACCACTGTCCAGCTGAACCTTTTTTAAATTCATTTTATTTCACTGCATGAGTGTTTTGGTTGAATGCAAGTATGTGTACCACACGCATGCCTGGTGCCTCAGGAGGTCAGAAGAGGATATCAGACCCCCTAGAACCGGAGTGATAGATGACTGTGAGCCACCATGAGGGTGCTGGGGACTGAACCTGGATCCTCTGCAAAAGCAGTAAGTGTTCTTAACCACTGAGCCATCTCTCCAGCCCCCAGAAAGATAATTTCAAAGAAAAAAGACCGAATGTCCATCCTACAAATCCTTCAAAGAGCTTATGCAAAAACAAAGGGCTTTCCAAGCTTGGGAATCTACCTCTCCCAGCAGAGAAATTTTCCATCCACCATCCCATAAAAGCTCCTGAGACAAACTCCCATTTTGAAAATGGGTAATGCTAGCCGGGCGTTGGTGGCGCACGCTTTTAATCCCAGCACTCGGGAGGCAGAGGCAGGCGGATCTCTGTGAGTTGGAGGTCAGCCTGGTCTACCGAGCAAGGTCCAGGACAGCCTCCAAAACAATACAGAGAAACCCTGTCTCGAAAAACCAAAAAAAAAAAAAAAATGGGTAATGCTTTTCTATGAAGCAGAATGTCACTACCACATTTCCCCAAGCCCAAACTTGAATAACATTGTCTGTTCCACCAGTTTTTGCCCCCCTGTTTTATTTTGATAGGAGGATCTCCATGCCAAGCAACATGTAGCTGGTTGGGGAAAAGATTACCTACTGGGAGCCTGGAGAGATGGCTCAGCGGTCAGGAGCTTGTACTGCTCTTCCTGAGACCCAGAGTTGGTTCCCAGCACCCCCAGCTGCAGCTCATAACCACCAGCTAGCTATAGATTCAAGGGATCCAACGCTTTTTTCCAGCCCCTGCAGTCAAGTGCACATACATATACACAGTCAAAGTAACTATTTTAAAAATTAAAATAGAGGCCGGGCATTGGTGGCACACGCCTTTAATCCCAGCACTCGGGAGGCAGAGGCAGGCGGATCTCTGTGTGTTCGAGGCCAGCCTGGTCTACAAAGTGAGTTCCAGGACAGCCTCCAAAGCTACAGAGAAACCCTGTCTCGAAAAACCAAAAAAAAAAAAAAATTAAAATAGGTGCTATCTTAGTTAGGGTTACCTTTTCTGTGGTGAGACACTGTGACCAAAGTCAGTTTCTTGGCCCAGGTCACCTCTCTTGGGTGGTGGCTCCTTCTTTGCTCTCCCTTCCCTCTCTCCTCACATGGCCATGTCCACTCTGGACTCTCCCAGATGTCCCTGCCTCTGACTAGGCGCTCCCTTTTATCTACAATAACCTTTCCCCTCCATATACCTAGGAGCAGTCAGGGCCTTCCCTTGTTATTTCGCATTTTTACCTTCAATATGTATGTGGGTGCACATGTCACATTGCTCAAGTGTGCGGGCAGAAGACAACTTTGTGAGATTGGTTCTCCTTCCATCTTTCTGTAGGTTGTCGAGCTTGAGAGGCAAGCAGTTTTACCCGCTGACTCGACTTGGTGGCCCTTTTTTATTTTTTTTATTTATTGTAGCCTACTGCACCCTCAAATAGGCATATGTAGTGGAGAATGACCTTCAACTTGCCTCCACTTTCCCAGTACTGGGATTACAGGCACCCGTCAAACATGCCCAGCCTATGTGCTCCTGGGGGCTGGACCAGTGTTTTGTGAATGCTGGGATATGCATGCACTCTACCAACCGAGCTGCATTGTCAGCCCCCCCCCCCCTGCTGGCTAGATTGGGTTGTAGGCCAGCCTGTAGGGCATTTTCTTAATTAGCGATTAAAGTGGGATCGCCTTGCCCATTGTGGGTGGAGTCACCCCTGGGCTGGTGGTCCTGGGTGCTATAAAAGTTAGCCTGAGCAAGCCATGTGGGAGAAAGTCGGCAAGCAGCTGCTCTCCTTCCTGCCTCTGCTTCACTTCCTGCCTCCAAGTTCCTGCCTGGAGCTCCTTCTCTGACTTCCCCCCAGGGATGGAGCATTACCTGAAAGGGTAAGCAAAATAAATCCTTTCTTCCCCAGCTGGCCTTAGGTCGTGGTGTTTCATCACGGCAATAGTTACCCTAATAATATAATAAAATACTGTTAGCTATTCTATTTTCCAAGTATTATACAAAAGAAACAACAAATACATATATAAACCATGTTAACCAGACTTTTCTCTTTCATATCCTTGCTTCTCCCCTTTATGCCTGAAAACGGCAGCTTACGAAATCTTTCCTACCACCAGCTATCCCTGCCCCCACCTAGAAAAAAAATGGGAAAAGTCACAGACAAAACAAAACAGAAAAGAGCAAATCTCCGGGATTTCCCAGACTCCCAAAGTGGTGTCTTATTTCAAAGAGTCCCTCATCAAACACACACACACACACATACACACACACACACACACACACACACACACACACTTTAAAAAATCGTAAGAATAAAGGGGAAGTGCCAAATCATAGCAGGCCTGACCACCCAGTCTCAATGATTGAACACCTAACTCTACTGAGGTTTCAAAGTCTGCCAAGGACAACAGAGTGTTAAGAGGAGAGCTGCTTTTAGTCTCTGTCTTCTCAGCAGCCAGCTGTGTGACCTTGGACAAGGCCCTTCCTTCTCCAAGACTCCATTTTTCTCTCGAGGGGGCAAGGGCAACAGTGTTGACCCTCAGTGACGATTAAGTAGCTCATGTAAAAGTATCTGTTCTACCCCAGCAAGCTAATCATGCTGATCAGGTTTTCCGGGCCCTTGTGAGAATCAGTACAACTTTTAATATTGTCTAAGAAATTCAGGGAGCTGGGAGATAACTCAGTCCATAAAGAGCTTGGTGTGCAGGCATGAGGACCTAAATTCAGGTGCCCAGAACCCATGCTAAAAACTCAGTGTGATGGCACACCTGTAATTCCAGTGATGAGGAGATGGAGACAGGGAGAGCCCCTAGGGTTTGCTGACCTAGCCAATTTGTGGACTTCAGGTTCAATGAGAGACCCATCTTCAAAAAAATAAGGCGGTGGCAGGAGAGATGGCTCAGAGGTAAGATCACTTGCTATTCGTGCAAAGGTTCACACACACATTTGATTTTTCCAAATAAATTTTTTTATTTCCAACACCTGCATGGTAGTTCACAAGCATCCACATTCTAGTTTGAGGATGATGAACAGGATAACAAATCCTTATTCATGTGCATGAATAAGTATTCATGCACATGAAATAATATAAATATATCTAGAGAAAATAAGGTGGAAGTCATGTGTGGTAACACTTAGGAGGCAGAGGCAGGTGGATCACTGGGTCTGCATTGCCAGTTCCAGAACTGTATGTCTTGTTTTGCTTTTAAAGTGGAGAGGCAATGAGGAAGATGAGGAAGGCATCTGAAGTCTGGACTCCATGTGCATGCTTACCCATACATGTGTATACCCAGACACACAAAGAAATAGAGAGAAGGGTGTAAATGGTGGACTCTGCAGCAAGCGACAGGTCTCTTCACCCTGGAAATCCCAAACCAAAACAGAAACAGAAGGGAGACGGGGATGTGCCATGCCATTGAGTTTCATGCAGGAGGGTGGTCTTGGAAAGAGCAGGCAGGCTTGGAGACCATAGGGCATCAGATCCCAGCTGGTGCTGTGCCCAGGAAGGTAAGCCTTGACAGCTGGGTCCTGTTTCCCAGAAGCAGCTGGGTCCTGTTTCCCAGAAGCAGGAGGAATTCAAGAAGCTGCTCCCTTCTGCTCCAAGACTCAATATTCTGGGGCATCTCCATCAGCAGGGACCAGCTGACCAACAACCTCTAGAGGATCAGGGCCACAGGCCAGGCACAGCAGGAACAAACCATGGCTGGGGCTCCAGGCACCTCCAGTTTGCTCATAATAAGCTGTAAGGCATTAGACAAGTTGCTTCTGTGCCCTGAACTGATTCATCCTCTGTTTGATGGGGCTGGGACAAAACAGGATCCTGCTGGCTCTACAACAGTCATTCCCAGCCTGACAGGGAGTGGCACCCATAAATAGGGGCCAGTAGAGAGCAGGCAGGAAGGAGGAAACCTCTGTAGTCCCCTTCAGCGTTGACAAAAAAAACCAGTGTTTCTCTCTGGATCCTACCCTCAGGCCCCTACTAACCAAAGTGGAAACCTGTAAACTCATTTTCCCTTCCCTCCTAGAAGGCAAGTGTGGGTTGCTGGGGGAACCCAGCTGAAAATCACCACAGACAACTAGGATATAAGACAAAAACACAAGATCAGACAAACCAAACTTTATTCCAAAAGGCATCCTGGGGTATCCATGACTACATCACTGGATAAGGCGCATGGCTCCTCCCTCTAGCCACCCTCCCTATACCAAAATTCACCCCTGCGTGGCCTTTGTGCCCACTGTTGAATGTGTCTCCTGGGCCCACAAGAGGACCCAGACTTTTGGTTGGGGGCTGTCTGGGTGGTCTTGGCCTGGCCCCAGTCCTGGTGTCAGAGAAGTAAGCCGGGGAGACTACTGCCAGTGTTGGAATGCTCTGGGCGACATCAGGTGATCATTCTGTGGCCTTTGAGGAAAGGTGGGTGGCGCAGCAGTGTCTCCCATCCTTCTCACATTCAGCAGACTGAAGGACCACAAAGCTGCTGGAAGCCAGGCACATCAGGAAGAGCTGGTGAGCTCTGGGAGCTCCAGGCACATCTGGGTAGATAAGGCACAGCAGGGCCAGGAGGTGTGACCAGGAGCAAGGTCACCTGGGGCTGAGCTCCTGAGGGAACTGGGCCTGAGCTTAGTGATCTACAAAAGACAAACAGGTAAGAATGCAAGCTGGAACTGGGGACCCGTCACTTAGGGAATTGGAGACGGGCAAAGATCCGTCCCAAGTGTTCAGAATCTGGTGCCCAAAATTGTAATGTAGGAGAACTGGTAATCCTTGAGCATCAAGGAAGAAATCCGTCTTCCCCACTGTGGTTCTTCACCAGACAGTGAGAAGGAGAGACTTCTTGCTCCCCACCTGCCCCACGGCAGCAGAGGTCTTCTGCTGGCCCCAGGTAGACTAGTGCAGTCAAGCAGGCAGGGCTGTGGCAGTTTGACCACTCTGGGAGTCTTTGAGGCCTCAGCTACTTGGAAACCTGCAACACAGGAACAAAAGTCACTGACTATCAAGGTGTCCAAGGTGTCCCAGCAAAGCCCACCTCATGCACAGACTGTCACTGTGTCTGGTTGGAGGGAAAGTCACCCTTTGTGGAGCATGGCAGTAGAGCTAGCCCAAGACAAGGAAGAACATTGGAGGTTGTGTTCTGGGATTTCTCAGAGAGGAAAAAAAAAAACAGCAAAAAATCCCCCACAAACTTTTTTGTTGTTTTGTTTGTTTAGAGGATAGAGTCTTACTGTGTGACTGGGGCTGGCCTGGAACTCACTATGTAGCCCAGACTGGCCTTGAACTCATAATCCACTCTCCATAATCTCCAAGACTCTAGGATTACATGCCCATGGGAGCATACCCAACTCAAACTCCCATAATACTAGTGGACGCAGACTGTTTTTCAAGATGAAAACAGTTCTGGAGGTACATGGTGGTGATGACTGCATAGCTGTGTGACTGTCCTTATCGCCACCAAACTGCCCTTAGAGCTGGTTACAAGCGAAATTTTTAGGTCATGCATATTTTACCAATTTAGGAAAAAATATTTCTGATGCTGGGTCGTGAACCAAGGGCCTCCTAAACTTTTCATTATTCTACCACCAAGCTACACTCTTAGCCCCAGAAAAAAAAATTAGCCATATCCAATATGTCTTGACCTGTAGTGTGAAAGAAGGTGGCCTGTCCGAATCAAAGCCAACCCCCTTTACTCATTGCCAAGGGGACTTTGGGCATTGATCTCACAGTACTACACAGAGAATACATGCATTCAAGCAGTATACCCACACAGCAGGGCTATAGAAAGTGCTGTGTTCCACTTCAAGCACTACCTTCATGAGGACAAACCCAACACCTCCACACCTAAGCTTGAAAATAAACTTGCAGGGGCTGTGTGTGTGGCTCCCTGATAGACGTTTCCCCTACACGACAGGAGCACTGGACTCTGTCTCTAACAAGCAGTGTCCTATGCCCTTGTGTTTCCAGAGAAAGCTGGTGGTTCTTGAAGGAGTTAGTAAAAACAGTGAATTTTCACAACTTCTATGGTTATCTTTGTCATTCTTCCACTTGCTTTGAGTAAAATCACTTTAATTTCTGGAAGAGAAGGTGGCACCATGTTTTCTCTTCACAGGCCTATGATACTCCCCAGTTATCCAAAAATGTCTTACCTTAGAGGTGGCACCAGCTGTCCACCTCAGGTCCAGAGAATTCTCAATTTGGTGGGAGAGCTCACCCCACCAGCTGCTCAGAGTCAACGCCAGGATCTCTTGCGAGGGACTGTCCTTCAGACTGGGAGACCACCTGGATATCCTTAGCTTCATTTTCCCAGTGATAAGAAAGAACCAGCAGTTCTCAGGCCTCCGGATGGTGAAGGACACCCAGCTCTTTTGTCATTGGGTGCCCCGCCGCGTTAGAGAAACTCCCAGGGAAAGGGGAGCTTCCCAGTCTTCACTGGGTCAAACTGTGGGACCCACACAGCATGGGGCAGTCTTGGGGGTGGGAATGGCTCGGGCCCAGTAGTAGTTCAGTGAACTAAATGACCATGTGTGGGCGTGTACCTGCGGATTCTCAGAGACCTCATTATGCTACCAAACACTGAATGTGCAGGGGAAGACAGCGCCACTGGCAGGCCCGTTTGCCTTCTAAGTCTTCTTTTGGAGGTAGTACCTGAGTGGTTCCCTAGGCAACCTACTGCTTTAGAGGGAAAAGTGTGGCTCTTATCTTAAAATGGCTGTTCCCAGAGCGGGATCTGGGTCCCCGAAGGGGTGGGCATCATCTTAACAATCGCCGTTGGTTACGCAGGATCCCTAACACAAACATATTTAAGGATAGGGTGCAGCAGAAGCTGGTGAGTGACAGCACATTTGGCCTAGTCTGAATGAACCCCAAGTATAAATGCGGAGAGACGTGAGCGCGCGTTGTTTAGTAAGGTACAGTCCGCGGGCCTTTGCTCTCCACCACTCCTGTAGCTGGCCCCACCCAAAAACTTCGATGATGTAGGGCTGCGCAGGGAGAGATCCAAACTACAACTAAAGACGTCATTCATTCCAGCACCAGCTAAGGCTTGTCCCCGGCTCCACCTGCAACTGCCTGACTGCATTCTACACCACCCCAGGCTGGAAGAGGGGGCAGGGAAGGGATGCTCTTCCGACTGCAGGGCAGGAGGGAGGGAGCAGAGGCGCAGTCCAAAGACTGGTTCCAATTTGGGGGCCTCCGCCGGATCTACGCGGCGCGGCGGCGCCTGTCCACGTCTAGCTCCGGACAAGGAATGGGGAAAGGGACTTCCAGGCTTCTCCTGGAGCGGCCCATCTGAGTATGTGTGTCAGCGCCTCGGATAGCTGCGCTGGTCCCTGGAAGCTGATATCTGGGCTAAGCTGTGGTGCAGCAGTCAGACTGGAACTGAACGTCGGGGATCCAGGGCGCGAACAGTGGAAACACAGGCAGGGAGAGGGTGCAGGGGCGCACCGGTACGGGGCGGGGGCGGCAGGAAGGGCTCGGGAGGGATCCCCGCACCGATCTGGGCCGCAGTGGAGCGAGTGGCCTCACACCACCTCCTCCTTGCCCTGGTAGCGACGGCAGCAGCCGTAGAGCGCCGAGAGCAGGTAGAGGCCAAGGCAGAGGCCGCCGCAGACGGAGGCCGCTAGGAAGGCATGGTAGGCGCAAGGCAGCCGGTAGCTCTTGAGGTTGCAGTAGCTGTGTCGCTGTGTCTGGTCGATCATGATGCCCGTCGCGGCCCCGTAGAGGGCAGCGGCCAACAGGTCGTGTGCCACGTTGACCACGAGCCAGCGCGAGCCCAGCACGGGCACCAGCTCCTGCTTGCCCAGCAGCGTGATGAAGTAGAGCCCCAGGGTGAGCAGCCAGAAGAGCACCGACACGAAGAGCGCGAAGTGCACTGGGCCCTGGTACTTGCTGGTAGCGATGGTGATCCAGAAGGCGGCTCCCGCCAGCAGCTGCAACAGACGCAGCACGCCCAACGGGCCGCGCAGGAAGGCCCGCTGCAGGCGCAGGGATCCGCGGGCCGCGCGCGCCTGGGGCGGCGGCTGGCGCGGGGGTGGAGGGAGCATGGCCCCCGGACGCGGTGGCGGCGGCGGCGGCGCCCCGAGCAGCGGAATGGCTGCGCCTTGCTCGCGGGGGGGCGGCCCGGCCCCGAGCCCGCTGCTCCCGCTGCGGCCTGTGCGCCTTCCTCTGCTCCTAGTCCTCGGCTCTGCTTCTCCTCTCCACCCTTCTTCCTTCCCTCTCTCCTCCTCTTTCTCTCTGGCTCTCTCCAGCCCTCCTACCCGCTCTTTGGCCGTCCCCTCGTCGGTCTCCACCCCTGCTCGCGCCTCTCGGCTTCCTGCCGTCGCGCCCTTCACCCTGGCTCCCCCCCCCCTTTCTCCTCCGCTCCAATTTCTTCACCCTCCAGCCAGGGCCAAAGGCCCGCACCCCCCTAGTCCATGGCAGGCCTTCCGCACCGGCTGCCCGAGCTGCTGGGTCACGTTTGCCACATCTGGAGCCACCCCAGCTCTCCCTGCCTTGTGGGCCTGGCTGGTCTGCCGAGGAGGGAACTGGCTACCAACAGTGTCCTCCCAGCCTGAGCCTGAACCCCCTTGATTAACCCTCATAGGAGATGGGAGATAGTAAGTTTCTCCCATAGAAGCTTCCTAGCATGCCTGGTCGCCACAAGTGAGCAGGAGGCCTGAACTGACAACTTCTCTCCCTGGGTAGGACATCCCCAGTACCTTGCACTTGTCCACCACAAATCCGCCCTGTCCGAAGTTGTCTAGCCGTGAAATTTCCTTGGCCAGAGTAAGGAACCATCACTTACTGGAGGCCCGGATGCCTCACCCACAGCTCACAGAGCATAGCAATGCCAAACACTTCTAGTCACCTAACATGACATGGCCCAGATCTGAGAAAACAGAATGTCCTGTGTGCCTAACTTTTCATCCAGATGGCAAAGCGCCCAACGATGGCAAGGTTTATTGGTAGTACAGGGTCTACATGTATTCTTATGTAAGCCTCCAACAACACAAGAGACAAGAACAGGCATTCTCTTCATTTTCCTGAAGTCAGGAAACCAGTGATGGCTTCTTCTCACTCCCCCACCCCCAGGAGCCAACCTTCATTCTTCAGCAGGGTTCTGAAACAGACCTGGTTGTTCCTCACTGAGCGCACTACAGAGCTGTGTCTTGTCAATGTGGCATATTGCATAATCTGTCCCCAACCAACTTCCAATGTCTTGTTTTTTCCGCTTCCTTCCCCCACCCATGCCCAAACTCTGTCACTTCTTGCAAGTTTCCCACATGAACTCAGAATGCCCTCCATCTTCCAAACCCTCCTTAGCTGGCAGACAATGCCCAGTTTAATTACTACTGACTTTGGGTCCAGCTTTCCACGCTGACAGTTACTTGCTTGTCTCGGCCTCCGTTTGAACCATTCCTCTGCAGTAAGTAGTTCTTGAGTCTGCTATGCCATAAACCATGATCTGGCCGAGCTCATCCATCTTTTCCAGGGCCTGGCATATAGGAGACCCTCACTCAGTACATATAAACAGAGTTCATTGCCAAGTGATTACAGGAACAGCCCCAGACCTAAGCAAGCCACACTTGTCTATAGGACTATGTCTGCATCAGACCTCCAGCTGATTCTACGTTGTAGAGCTCCCCTTTTACATCCTGGTCCGTAACTCAGTGTCCCCTGGCCTGGCACAGCAGATCCCTTTTCCAGTGGCCTGGCTCTACTTTGAAGAAAAAGCTTTGGCCTGTCACTGCTTCCCCAGCCTGTATACACTACTCAGGAAAGCTCTGAATGCACGTGAAAATGCTTAAATTGTGATGTGTAACAGCCACACCTACGTAAGACAGCACGGCCCTGGAATCAGCTTGCCATTGCTTCACTTCTTCGTAGCTGGGCACGGAGGAGGGGCTGCCTAACCCTCTACATCCGATTACTTCATCTGTAAAATTGTTTCATGAAGCAGGCAGACAATGAGTGCTTATTAAATGTTGAATAGCATTTTAGAGGCCAGGGACACATGATATATGTGGTTTTGGGAACAGACTGTTTACTGTGTTAGGCCCCGTGGCAAGAAGTTGTATTTACTGTTCCAGTTAATGGTTACCAACACTGTGAGATGCTTGTTCTTAGCTCTGATCCTCTGACGGAGACAGCAGGCTCAAAAAGTTGAAGCAGCTGACCTTGTTCCAGAAGCTGCTGGGGACTCAAGAGGACCCGGGTGACGCTGACTCTACCTCAACAATCCAAATATTTCTGCATATTATCTATGTAAAAACAGAGTCTGTGTCATATTGGAATCCAAACCTGCACTCTCTGATCCAGTAGGGGTGTACTCAGTGCCTTGACTATGGTTGAGACTCTGAACCCCTTCTAGCAACTGAATCTGGCTGCCGGACTGAAGAGGGCATTTCTGTGAGCAGGGTGCCTCCTACAACAGGAGGAAGGGAAGAGAATCCTTCCATCTTCTTAAAAAGGCATCTGGAGATGTGTGGGTTAGGGCACCACCTGGCGGGCAGACACTTTCAGCTTTGGGAGTCTCAACTGGGCTCCTTACATGGAAGAGTCTTTCAATAGCTTTGGGACGATATTTTTAGCCTCGGAATCTTGAAAACATTCCAAGAGGCCGTGGATCAGACTCTCTGGAAATGTGCAACAGTATATGAGAAGGCTTTGATTCTTTCCAACTCAATGACTCTAATAATCTAAGCACCTGCCAGAGGCAAACACGCGGTTGTGAAAGGGAGAACGAAGAGGACTCACTCAAGTGCTGGCACTCTGCGGTTGCTAAGGGACATTGTGAACACAAAAGACAAAGGTTATAAGTAAACTACGGAAGAGACGGAGAGCATTGTGAGGGGAAGCCAGGGAATTTTTCAGTCATAGATGTCATGGAGGGTGAGTAGTGTTCACACAAGAAGGAAGGAAAGACACACCTTGGGAGTGGCTATCCCCAGGGAACCTGAGCTTTCCAGATGCCCCCGCCACCACTGGGCATAGCCAGAATACAAGGCCATGACTGCTCTTTCCCCGATGGTCCTTCATGGTTGTGTGTGCAGCCTGCAACTTCAAGGAATAAGGTAATATGTTTCTCCAAAGTGGAGTGTTTATAGTTGGGTGACTCTTGAGTTTGTTAATGTGGCTACTCAAGGGATCCCCAGGCCTTTCTTTAGCCCAAGCAGCCTGAGCTCTGAATGGAGGCAGAGGCCTGGGCAAGTGATGAAGGAATTTGAATGGAAGTCTCAGCCAAGCCCTTGCTCACCCCATGGGATGTTAGCTAGTCAGACTGGGAACTAACTACAAGGTCCCTAGAGATCCACTATTGCCCCCTTAGACCACGCCATCAAAAAGAGGCCCACAGTGTTAATGGACCTCCCCCTGGACCTCATCTGGGGACATGCAGGCCCCCAGATGACCTCACCCGGGAGTTTCCTGGCCAAGAGACTCAGGGAGGAGTGGGAGTACCCCCAGAGGAAGATGTAACGGCCATGAGGCACCAGGCAGTGCCGACTGCTTTCCACCCTTACCTAGTGCACCTCCCACAACAGCTCTTTCTGAGAGAGAGGCGCTTTAGACACCACCTCAGTGCTGTGAGGCACCGTGGAACTTCTGTCGACCCGGGAATTGCTCACTTGGTGAAAAATAATATTTAAATAAGTAAATAAACCACCCTCAGTTCAAAATGAGGAAACTGAGGCACAGGAGTGCTTCACAGATTCCAACTCAAGAGAAAGAAACCTAACTCACACATTTGGTCTCCAGATGTAGGCTTTCATCACTGTGTGTATCTGGGACTTCAGCTTTCATGTGGGAGAGGATGAAACTCTTTCCCTGTGTGGTGGGAAAGAGAAAGGCCCAAATGCCTAGAGATGGTTCAAAGAGGAGGAGCCAGCCAGAACCCTGAGAGGAGGAGTAGGTATACAGGCTCATCTTCAGATCCACACTTAGGGAGCCTGACTCTGCCTGCTGTGTGTTTCCCTTGCTAGGGAACTTCAGGATGGGGATGTCCCTTGGTCCCACTTTACCCTTTAATGTGGGAAGATGGACCTGGAAGGCAAGCCTGGAGTTCAACGGTGCTCTGCCCTGAGTGTTACCTGTATCCCCTAGAACATGTGAGACCGACAATTTCATTGTCTCCATGTGACAAGAGGACAATGAGATTCAGAGAGGTTGAGCTAGTAAGTAGCTGAGCAAGAAACTCGATTTCCATCTATGGATGCCAGGAAACACTACAGCTGTCATCAGTCTCTGAATCCACTTTAACCATGAACTCCTCAGTAAGGCCAGCCCCACAGGAAACTCCTCACTAGACATACACACTCTGGCCATTCAGCAAAAACCAAATGTGGCCTCCTTTCTATTACCACTTGGGGCTCCAGTATTGGATCACCACTGGAGTCTCTTAAAGATGCGGTAAAGCCTCCACTCTGTTCCCAAGAAACCTCCCTCAACTCAAGTGGAATGAAACACTGTTGCCATGCTCCAAAGACGTCAAACCAATACAAGCCGCCAGAGAGACATAGCCTGACCCCAGTAGCTGACTGACTGGCGCAGATCCAGTACTCCACCCTTCCCTGCCTCAGCCCCTGCTGTGTATGTGGGAAGCTCTCCAAGATTCAGTGCTGACCTCTCCTGCCCCGTGACCCGTGGTGGTGCCCCCAGAACCATTTTCCTGGGATTTGGGTTAGTGGTTGCTCCTATTAGAACTCATGCTGAGGTAGCCAAGGAACACAAGACACAAATAAGTGGGAACAGAAATTCCAGGAAGTCAGAGGAAGCTGGAGCAGAGAGAGGAAGCTTGCTCTGGTCAGGTTCTCCAGAGAAACACTCAAGACAATGGGGAGAAAGGAGGCAGAGGGGAGGACAGGAGAGAGAAGGAGAGGGAAAAGGGGGAGAGAGAGAAAGTGAGATGTGAGAGTGGGAGAGGAGGGAGAGAGAGCATGAGAAATCACAAGGAATCAGCTCACAAAATTCCAGAGGCTGACAAGCCCCAAATCTGCAGTTGGCTGACTGGAGGTGAGTTGGAAGGGGATCAGCACCCCATCCCTCCTAGGCATCAGCACCCCATCCCTCCTAGGCATCAGCACCCCATTCCTCCTAGGAGGAGCAGGCTCTTTGTGCAACTGATTGGGAGGTTCACCCACACTGCGGGGTGGGGGAGGGCATCTGCTTCACTCAGTCTGCCAGTCCACATATTACCTCATGCATGTCTTCACAGACACATTCAGAGTCTTAGTTCATTTGCTGTTACTGTAACAGAACATTCAGAAGTGGGGAGTTTATAAAGAAAAGTTTAACTTGGTTC